CCCCAAAACCCCAAAACCCCAAAACCCCAAAACCCCAAAACCCCAAAACCCCAGAACTTCATGAATCAGTTGAGAGTATCTTGATAAAGAAAAGATACAGACTTTATGTAGCAAACAGAGTTAGAACTGTGAAAAATATGTATAAATTAGTTTAAATGACTATATTGAGTGGTTGTAGATCTTAACATTTTTAAACCCGAACTTATCTAGGAGCTCTCTTACGTGTTCTCTCGTCATTCCTCATTTCAATAAAAATATTAACTTTAAATTGTTCTTCATTTCATTACTTTGTGATAATCCTTCAATTAATCTTGAGAATCTCTCTGGATGATTGACCCAATCACATCTTTCAGGAATACCACAGCTTTCTAAATTTAGTCCTTCTAGTTTAGTATAGATCAGAGCATCTTCTAAATCAGGAACTGAATCAAGTTGAAGCTTTCAGCTTAGAATTCCTAAATATTTCGGAGCCTCCTTTCAGATCTGAAACAAATTTCTCATTTGAGAGTAATTGATGTCAGCATTCAAAATATATAAAATTTTTGATACTAGAGAGCTTAAATACGTAACAATATCGTTGATTTTTTCAAAGCTTAGCATTTCTCCCCTCTGATTCAAGTCAATTCTTTCCAATCCTTTTGGTATTCATGAAAATATAAAATCTTTAGACAACCGCAGATTTTCATGCATGTTATGTATTTCTATATATGTAAGCTTTGGAAGTATATTGCCACAAACAGCTTCCATGAACTCAGAATCTTCTTTAGCTTTTAGATCTAATTTCAACGCTCTCTTGTTTCCTTTGAAAAGTTTCTTCCCTGTGATTCCTTCGTATACTCTTTTTAGATCATTCACTGTAGATAAGTTAATGATAGATTTTGCAATCTTTTTATTACGAACAACTTTATGTTGCAAATCTTCAATTGTTGCTTCCATCTGCTTGATTTGTTCTTGAAAGCTACCTTGTCTAATCGGCCTTGCAATAAATCTTTCGATCTCTTGTTTGTCAATACTCAAGTAGTCTCAAATAAGTTGGATATAATTCTGAAAACAGAAATGTCCCACAAATTCATCTCTGTTCAGTCTATCAAAGATGCTCATGGTTTCATCTTCAAGTTCCTCGTATTTATCAAGCTCTTGAGTTTGTTCGGCTGATTCAAGCTCCCTCTGCATTTCAATAATTCTTTTTTGGGCTTCATCAATCAAAAGTTGTGATACTTTTGTATTTTCTTGCTACTTAATTGATTCAATTTCAATTTTAAAGTTTTTGATACATATGCTCACCACCTGTAGAGCCTTTGCAACTCCTTTAGTCGCATCTAACTAGACTCAATACTGCTCCTGCTCTGGCTTTAAGTGCTCTTGTCATATCTGGATATCAAACCCTTTATGAAAATACTCTGGACCATTGGCACAATCTCCAATCTGTCACTTAGGACTGGCTTCCATTGCTCACTAATCCCACTCACATACTCTTGTTATGTCTACAAATTCAGCAGCCATTTCCCACATTTGTTCTACAAAAAGTTAGAGTTTCAACTTTGGTGGTTTCCCAAGGGGTTTTGGGGTTTTGGGGTTTTGGGG